TTCTTAGGGGTATCAAGGGTAAAAATGTATTTCAACTGCATTATGGAGGCGAACCAGCCCCAGGTTGAAAGCCTCCCTATTTTTTTTTTTTTTCCTTTGGTTTGTTTTTTCCGTCGATCTTGTTTTCCGTGCTGAGCACCAATGCTACCGACGTGCCAGGAAGGCAGCTCCCACACCTGGACCCTACCTATCGACCCATCAACTCATGAACCGGGGACCAACGGCTTTACTTCCCATCCGAAGGAAGGCGTGATCAGAGATGTTATGCCTCAGAACATCCCGGCGGCGCCGACTGGTATTGAACCCAGGCCTGCTGGGGTGAGAGGTAATCACGCTTACCACTACACCACCGGCGCCGTTATAAAGCCTCCCTAATAAAGATAAATCAATCAATCAATCAACTGCATTTTGGCGGATCAACTGCATTTACAGTTTAAGTCAACATCGCATATAAGTATGACATACATCGCATTATGTTTAAGTTAAATCGTATAGATTTCCGACTTACAGTACTGGACAAAATAAATCATACGCTCAACCCAAAAAAGTACATTACATCATATTTTTTGCTATTTTGCACGCAATTTCAGCAGTATATTCGGAAAAGTTCAAGTATTTCTCATGGTGCATTCAATTAGCGGAATGAAAATTTGTATAATATTCTGCTATTTTTGTTACAAATTTAAATAAATTTATGCTCACTTTTGTGCATCCCCTCCTAAGATTTTATTTTTTAGCCATCGAATAAAAACACAATCTGAAGATTTGGCATCACGGCGTAATATTTGACAGTTCTTGTTCCGGGAAGCGTGCGCATCGCACCATGGTGTTTTGTTTGCGTCATTTGAAAATTGAAAAATGTCGGGAAAGCAGATTTCGCTCGATTTTAGAAATTTGGTGATTCGCGATCGTGAAAAATGAATTTCTTTTCGGAAAATTGCCGAAAAGTACTCGATCTCAGTTGGAGCTGTTCAGCACATATGGAAAAAGTACGAAACACGAGGAATTGTGAGGAATTTATCCGGACAAGGACGTCATCGTGCGACAAGTAATCGTGATGACATCAGAATTGTTCGAATGACTAAGCAGAATCCGAAGTATTCGTCAAGGCATATTGTGGAATCGATGGATCTCAATGTAAGTCGACGTACTGTTCGCCGGTGACTTAATGATAGCGGTTTGAAAAGCTGTTTGACATCGAAGCGTCCTTTTATCAATAAGCGGAACCAACGGAAGCGACTGGAATTTGCTAAAAAGTACGCCGGAATGACTGTGGACTTCTGGAAACGAGTTCTGTGGACGGATGAGACTCGGAATGAAAGCAAATTTGAGTTATTTGGACAAAAAAGGCGATCAAGGGTTTGGCGAGGTTCCGGTGACGCTCTTGAGGAACCATACATTCAAAAGACGGTTAAACACGGAGGCGGAAATGTCATGGTATGGGGAGCATTTGCGTGGTCTGGTGTTGGAAGCTTGGCTCATATAAAGGGAATAATGACTGCAGATGTGTACATTGACGTGTTAAGTGAAAATCTGGAAGTTTCGCTACTGAAAACTGGCCTGGAATCCAATTACATTTTCGAACAAGATAATGACCCAAAGCACACAGCGAAGAAAACAACGGCATTTTTCAAATCAAATCGGATCAAAACGCTGGAATGGCGTTCCTAATCTCCCGATCTCAACCCAATTGAGAATTTGTGGACAACAAAGTGGATAAAGCATCGGTTTCCAACTAAAACGTTTATTTTGAAGCACTTGAAGCAGCGTGGGAGAATATCGATTCAGGATATCTAGAAAACCTCGTCGAAAGTATGCCAAGACGGTTGGAAGCAGTGTTGAAAGCAAAGGGTGGTTATACCATATACTGAGAATGTTAAAATGTAAGTTGAAAGTTGAATTAAACATGAATTTTCAATAAGAAATCTGGCGTATGATTTATTTTGTCTAACTCGAAATTCTCCTTTTACAACTTATAAATGATGATTGAGAAAGTCATACAATATATTGAATATTCTATACCTGCACAGTTTTAGCGAAAAACATACAGAAGTATTGCTGAACAAACCATTATTGTATGTTTAAATCTACCTGATATATCGAGCTCCAAAGAAAAATTATATGGATGTATGATTTATTTTGTCCAGTACTGTATATGCGATGAATCATTTTTCCATCGTACTGTATAAAAAATTAAATCGGATTACATCGTAAGGCTTTTCAAATTGAATTTGTTATTACAGATTAAATCGTATATAATGTCAAATCAACTCGTTTAAAAAAGAAATCAAAATTTGCACGTATATGGCCTTCACTTTTGAAGGTATAGGACCATTTTTTTGCATTCTATACGATTTGTTTGTTTGTATATATGTTGGTACATCACAGAAACAACTTTGAATATTCTGGTTGTCTGGGAGATCATGTGGTACGGCAGCCCACATCGTGCAATTTGATTTTTGCTCAAGGAAATGTACAGCTACCTAAAACTACGACACATTTAAGCTGCACTTCGCAGTTCGAAATATTACCTACACATTTTCAACTTTGTTCGATTCTTATTCCCCTTCGATTCTTGTAGGAACAGTTGAGGTAATCCGGCTTGGATATCGAGTTGGAAAACTCCTCTCCGATCCTTCGGTTTTTTATAGGAATCTGCTACGAAGTCGATTTGGAGAAAATTTCTTCTGCCACCATATGCCTAAACGCAAAAAAGGGCAATCTCTTGATCTCTCTGATGAAATTTATTTGAGCAAGCAATTTGATATGACCACGAATGATTAGGTTGGTTGGTTTTCTTTATTTAAGAAACTTTCACCAGTAGACTGGTTTATCTCTGCAGAATGATCCATCATGCAGACAAAATTCCAACAAACATTAAATATATTGATCTGTATGCATACATATTTTTATATCGCTCGTAACGTGGGTAGATCACCTTTTCATGGTACGTTACGGGATGTAAGATCTATCACCGCTTCCTAGTCTTGACTACTTCAAACTAGGGAAACAGGATTTTTCAGTAATGAAAGGAACACATCTTAGTCCTTGTTACTTTTCAAGCCTTGTTGATAGTGATAAGTCCTCGGGTTGCCTGGACCGAGGATGATCTTGAAACAAGGCAAAAATGAGTTAGTTAGTCTTCACCTATGTGATTCCTAATCTTCTATTCGTTGTTCCCCAGTTTGAAGTGGTTAAGACTAGGGTTCAGATGCATGGTCATTATCGGTGTCATTGATTATTTTTGTTGCTAAGGAGTCCAATTTTAACTGACAAAGGGGCGTGCCTTTGGAGGGTGTTCCAACACTCCGAAGGGTATAAATAGCGGGACCTTTCAATTAGAATCGATTCCTTGCGATGAAGGCAAGAACGACAACTTATCTAATCTAAACTAATACAAACGCAGCCAGTACGAGAAAGCATCCTGGAAAATGATTAGGTTGGATGAGGTCTAATCATTTTTCTTGTCTAATTTATGTTTACAGCATATCTGAGATATGATTAAACATCAATACGGCCAGGCCTACTGCGTTGTATTTGCCGCAAAGATGATTCTTGGAAATGAATGGGAACATTTCTTGAATCTACAGGGGTGGAAGCATGCGTGGACATACCGTACCAAACGCTCCGAGTTACTATGTGTAGTTGTGTGTAATGTGTAAATATTTGTACAATATTGAAGAATCATAAAATAATGCAATGGAAGGATCTTACCGAATTTTCTCCTATGTTGGTAATGATTCTTTTGCGCTTAAAAGTTTCGTTGGATGCATCCGCTCCTTGTTTATCATGAGGTTTGGGATGCAGTTCCTCGTCATTGCTCGTGGTTATGTTTAGTCCGTCGCGTCCGGACCAGACCCTTTGCCATAATCTTGACCGCATCCATCTGATTTTCTTTGGCCAGCTTTTTGATGTCGGCGATGATCTTCTTTTCCTGCTGTTCCATTTTCATCTTCTCCCGATCCAAATCCCGCATCGCTTTATTCAGAGCCCGCTGGTTCTTGCGCATCATATCGTCCGGAGACATTTTCATACTGAACAGCCACTCCATTTTGCTGGTTGTTTTCCGGATCAAATAGTGGTAAAACTGGTTGAATCAGGTCCGGAATACCGGTCATAAATGCACTTGGAAAAAAACCTTCTTTCGACCATAAAAAGAAAAACTATTCTTCAAAAAACTTATCCATTTTCAAAACTGGCAAATCATCTTCAGATAAAATTTGGAAAACCGCGACGAATACAATAATATACGAGCAATTTGACAGCAGATTTTTTTCGCGTCCGTTTTGAAGCAGGGCACGCTTCGATCCTATGAAGGCAAGAATGACAACTGTATCAAAACCAAATACTTCATCATTTCTCAATAGTGATAGAGTAATACGACATGGACTAAACTAAGGACAATAGATCAAATTACTGGTCGCAGTAGTGTTATGTCCCGAATAGAGGAAAAAAACTTGAATCATATGCTTTCATATTTCATCGAAAAATTTGCAGGTTATCAATAAATTTTTCCAACAGGTTCAGTAAGGCGTAGCACAATCCAACAAACCCACCTAACGCAACACAACAATGGACACGAGGCATCTTGTCTCTATCTCTCTCTCTCCGGTAAGCAACAAGTATGTCACTAATAACAAACTTCTCTATTTAATACCACAGACGGCCTAGTTATCCTCCCATGTGTTAGTTATCGCCCACATGACACTCTTGACTGTGGAATTATGTGCAAATGTGATGTTTTTTTTCCCTACATGGACAGTACCATCCTGTGTATACCATCGCAGAAAAACAGAGTAGCAGTGGCACAGAAATTTATTAGCCCTAATAAGAGCCAGTATGTCTTCACCACGACAGTTCACTCCATAACTCTATAACGGATAAACCCCCGTTGCAAGCGGAAAAGTTTCATCCCGATCTGATTAAAGATGTACCGTACCGTCGTTGGTTGATTGATTACCCTTATGCGTGCATACCAATTCCGAGATGGTTGTACTCACCCTTCCACTGCGATCTGTCGAGTTGAGATTCTCCCGCGAGATGCCATTCTCCAGAATGTCCCGGAACACCTCCTTCAGTAGGTACTCGTTGGCATCTCGGGACGCCCTCAGTAGCGTTGTGACCGTGGGTACCTGTTCCATGCTCATCCTGAGCGCTCGTATCCGGGAGCTGAGCGTTGGGCTGCAATGAAGGAAAAAAGCAAGTGGGGGGAAAAATGAGTCGATGCATTCAACTAACAGAGATGGATGATAGGAGATAGGGACGATAAAATTGGAACGAGGAGTCACGCACTTCTTCGAATCTATCATCCTAAACAAATTATCGGATCGTGTCGAACAGCTGCATAGGTGTTGTAACCGGCAATGACGTACGTACCCGTAGGCCAAGCGCGGTGAAGATTATCCACCTCAGACCAGAAAAGTGAAAGTTTCACAAGATGATGCTGGGATGCGATGCATTTCCCAACACCACCGACCGGTGCAATCGAACAATTCTAAAATTAGCAGGCAACATATGATTCTTGCCGGGTTGCATCGTTCGTATACGAATCGGTGCGTTGCTATAATTGGGAATGCGGTTACAGTCTGCTGTAGGCGCGGAACTTCACGTGGTTTATCGGGAAAGTGAATGACTTCCGAGATATTTGGTTTCGTCGTAAGAGCCCTGTTAGTTTGTCATATGGAAACAGTTTGGCGCGACGTGGGTGCCACCGATCGGTTGGGTGAAATAACCGGGAGATGATTTGGTTAGCATGTTCAGGAAGGCAGAACGAGACCGCAGAGGAGGTTAAAATGAGGAAAACCTGCTGCGAAAGTATATCGAATTATGTGCAGATGGTTAGGGAGTGTGATACCGGTTGAATTTCGGGTTGTTTGATGTTCAGTTGAGTAGTCAATGGGTTGTAGAAAATACAAAAATTGTTAGCTTCAACGTGAACTTCACGGACCCTTTGTTTAAGGGAGGGCGTATCCAGAGGGATAGGCAAATGAATTTATGACAAAAGGTCGAAGGATAAAAGATCAAAAATCAAAGGGTCGAACGGACAAAATGTCGAATTGAACTTAGAGGGATAAATGGTCGAAGGACAAAAGGTCGAATTGAACTTAGAGGAACAAAAGGTCGAATGGACAAAAGGTCAAATTTAATTTAGAGGGACAAAATGAACAAATTAAAATGTTCGCTCAGAGTTTAAAAGATCTGTAAAAAAAAAATTATGCAATAATCCTCAAAAAGAACTGCTTATGATTTAAATAAGGAATATATTCTAAAGAAATTCAATTATTTGTCTCTTAAATTGCCGTGATTTGCACAGTAACTCATTGTCTTCTTAACTATCGAAAGAACTGCTCACGATTTAAAGAAGGGTAAATATTTGAGAGTAGACCACCTATTTTATCCTAACACTTAGAAATTATTACCGACTACGGTAAATTTTTACAAAACTTTTCACAGCTGAACGATCGGTAAAACTTTGATCCTCATTTCAAAAGCTGTTTCACTAAAATTTAATTTCAAAAGACTGTCATCCTTGTTCAAATAATCGAGTCTTGCCATTGTGGTGAAGTTTTCCTTGATTTGAAAGAAAAAAAAAAAAAAAAACTAATGAATTACAATGCATTATTTTTACCGACCAGATCAGCTGTTGAAAGTTCGGTAAAAATTACCGAAGTCGGTAATCATTTGTATGTGTGTATCAATTTGACCAGTTTATACATTTTGAAGCCATTTTTTCGATTATAGATCATTTTTAGCTTTTCTATGTCCTTCCTTAGCTTTACAACTTGGTCCGGTGTCGATGTTTTACCATTGCATCGTTTTGGGTTGCTCTATTTAGGTTTAATACTACATTGTCGATTTAATACAACTCAATGCGTTTTGATGTATCTCTCAGACTTTTGAGGTCATTATCGTACATTAAAGTCTGGAAGGCGTAAATATTGGTCAACTTTAAATTGGTGGATTTCTTTTAAAAATGCATTAAAAAAACCTGAAATGCTGCATTTGGAATTTGAGTGTATATACAATGGTTGCTATGATGAGTTTTCACCATTTGCTCTCCAGTTTTCAAAGTGACGTCCAAGCAAGAGGAGCAGCGTGTCAAAATTTTGCTCGCGCAGCAAGAGAATCCGACGTTCTCACACGCCAAGTTGGCAAAATTGCTGGATGTGGCCAAATCGACCGTGACAAACGTTTTAAAAGTGTTCGGGGTGCGTCTGACGACCGCCAGGAAGCCTGGAAGCCGCGGCAATCGTAATCGGGACGTGGCAGCGATGACGAAGAAGGTGGCGGTGAAATATAAGCGGAATCCTAACCTCTCCATGCAGGACGTCGCTGTCAAGCACCATGTCTCACATAATACTGTGCAGCGGGCCAAGAAACGAGCCGGGTTGTCGACGTTTAAGAAGGTGAAGGTGGCGAACCGATATTACAAACAAAACACGTCGGCAAAGTAGCGGTCTCGAAAGCTGTATACGAATCTGCTCACAAAGTTAGGCGGATTTCAAGCAGCTTCCGGGACAGGAGTTTTATATCGCATCAGGAAAAGAGAAGGTGGCTGAAATTTTCAAAACCATCAAACTATCGAAGCTCCCGAAAAAATATCTCGTCTGGCAGACCATATGGACGTGTGGTCTAAAAAGCGGCATTTTCGTTACTACGGGAACCATTAGTTAAGAGATCTACGTCCAGGAGTGCTTGGAAAAGCGGCTGCTACCATTCCTAAAGCAACTATGCAACTATGCCACCATGGGAAAAAGACAATCGAGTGGTACGATGCGAACAACGTGGTTGTGGTACCCAAAGACCACAACCCTCCCAGCAACCCAGAACTCCACCCTATAGAACGGTATTGGGCCCATTGTATTGCCGGTATTGTCAAACGGAATCTCAAAAAAATAAACTTATAAATCCATGGAAAACGAGCAGCAGTTTACATCTAACTGGCGTTCGTTTTGGCAAACCAAAAGAATAAACGGACATTTTTTCCTTTAAATATATGAATTGAACTACCAAAAGAAAAATAAGAAGATTTTTGTGATATGAATTTTGACTGAATGGCAGATTTTGGACTGATTTGGCATTCTGGTTTAGCATAGCTTGTTCGAATTTTTTGGTGTTTTATACACTTTTAGTGCCAGAGGATTCTGGGTTTTGGAATTTTGCAATCATGTATGAAGGGTGTGATTTGGTGTATTGTATCTATTTTTGAGTAATTAAGGTCATTCTGGCCTTACAACATCTCTATGTAATATTGGTGGGTCGTAAGCTTATGTAATTCCTCTCGACCTTTTGTCCTTCGACCTTTTGTTCATTCGACCTTTTTTCATTCGACCTTTTATCCTTCGACGTATTGTCCTACGACCTATTGTCCTTCAACCTTTTGTCCTTCGACCTTTTGTCCTTCGGTCTTTTGTCCTTCGGTCTTTTGTCCTTCGGTCTTTTGTCCTTCGGTCTTTTGTCCTTCGGTCTTTTGTTCTTAAACCTTTTGTCCTTCAACATTTTGTCTTGCAACCGAGTCAAACACCCTGGTCCCTTATTTCTTCCTAAAACAAATATTCACGATTTTGATTTTCTATTAAAATTTCTATTTAATTTTAAGACACACATATGAGGAATCATAAATAATAAAAATAAAGGATAAAGGATAAGCAGTTGTGAAGAGTATTCCAATGTAATTAAGAGCATAACAAATCTAAAAATTGCTTCCAAGGTAGCTCTGAGCATCACCTGGTTCAAGGTGAAACTTAAGGATAATTCTAAGAAAATTTAGAGGAGAGCATCAAATTAAATCTAAAGGGAATTCCGGTGTCCTCAGAACAGCAGCTTATTTTGATGTTATAAAACACTTTTTAGAGGAGCGGGACATTTTCTACGGGTTTGAACGTTTCTCAAAGTTCAGTAAATTTTGAAAGCAATATTAAAAAGGCACGATTTTTTCAACCTGGCAAGGAATTCAAATGTAATGCTTCTTTCTTTTGAACATGAACAATTGATTTGAGTTGTACTGAGTTTAGAAATTTTCAAATAATAGATATTTTTGATTTATAGGAATGCTTCCTTCTTTTGAACATGATCAGTTCTTTCGAGTTGTACTGATTTCGGAAATTTTTAAATAATCAATAATTTACACTTGTAAAAATGTGTTCTTCGTATAAACATGATCAGTTCGTTCGAGTTGTACTGGTTTTGTTATTTTCCAAGTAATCAATATATTAGATTTAACACGATAAGTTCTTTCGAATAGCACTGATTTCAACATTTTCTAAATAATCAACATGTATCGATTATTTAAATGCGTTTCAAACTAATTTTAATTGTATATTGTTTCATGATAAAAAATCAACAAAAAGACCCATTCGGTGAAATGTCCTTCAGCGAAACGTCCTTCGGTGAAACGTCTTTCGACGAAATGACACAGCCTCCTTTCTAGAATAAATTGGATTGATCAAATATTAACAGAATACTAGATAACTGAAAAAACAGCCCTAGTGGGTTGTACGCAATGCGTAGGGCTAGGGCTACATGTTGTTTATTAATTTATTTGATAAAGCTCAACCGAATTAACTTTACAGAGCCGAGGATTCTTGTTCACTATACAATACATCTTAATACTATAGTCAAAATATACAACACAATAAATAATTTATCTTCCGCTATCCAATAAGCCTCCTCCATCAGAACGGGAGCCGCTTCCAGTAGTTTCATTGTATAGCAGTGTCGCCAACGATGAGCAGAGCGCTACCATTGCAGCAATGGACGCAACACGTGGTCAACACTCACACACTCATCACGAAACGGTTGCTTTCCGAAGTCGACGACGCATCGACCGAAAGAACTGCTGATGAAGAACAATAAGAAAGACCACACAACGGTTGCTGCCAAGTAAACAGACGATCGCGTGACACACATTGAGAGTGGTCTGCTTCTGTCGACAGCCGAGTGAACACTGAAGGGCTACGTGGTCTTATGTAATAAATGTTATTTTTTTAACTTTTTGTGTTCTGTGCAGGAATAGGAGTTTGAGCGGCGTTCTCTCTGTTTATACTCTTTAGTATGACTATGATTGCCTTGAAAAGAACCTTTTGATATGAAGTTTAGCTTGGCAGTTGGGGGCAGCCTTGATAGCTAGCTGCTTGGCGGGGAGCCTTTCGTTGAGTACTGGTGAACACCAGCACACACCA